CCCGAGTCAAATAACACTAAAGCAGGTACAGAATTCACAAGAAAGGTACCTAAGCATAGCATGATATATAAGCATAATATCTCAATACCATAAACAATAATGAAAAGGAAACATACCAGCCACAACGTCGGGTGCGGCACGGACCTCTTCCGCAGTCAGCTGGAAGGCTCTCCCCCGAGCCCTCGGTGCCTCGGCCTTCACGGGCCGACTCTCTGCAGCAGTAGCTCTGATGGCGGCGGGAGCAGACCCCTGAGATGCTCCGCGCAGCAGCGGACACTCCGCCTTCCGGTGTCCAGTCTGGTTGCAGTGGAAGCACACTGCAAATCCCTTGGGCAGTCCTTAGCCATGTGCCCCTCCTTGCCACATTTGTAGCAAGACCCTGCCCGACAGGCGCCATCGTGACCCTTGCCGCACTTCCCACAAGTGCGGCCCTTCTGGCTCCCGGGTCTGGGATCAGCGGGCTTGGCCCGCTTGGCTGCCGGCTGGGACTGTGCCGGCCGCCGATCCCTCCCCATAGACTCCGCCTCCTCCCTGGCCTGAGTCTCAAGCTCAATCTCCCTCTTCCGAGCATTTGCCTGAAGCTCGGCAAATGTCCGGTACGAGGAGTTCGCAGCGAACTCCGAATATCCCGCCTCAAAATGCTCAGATAACGGCTCATACGTGCCTGCTCGGTGGACATGCTCAGGGCAAAACATCGCCCTCTCCTGGAACATCCTCGTAATCGCTGTAACTGACTCGGTACCCTGCTTGAGGGTCAGAAACTCCTGTGCCAGACGTTCCCTCTCCACCTGAGGAATACTCATCTCGGAACATGGAAGTGAACCTCTCCCAGGTCACTGCCGCAAGCTTCGGTCAGTGTGAAATGCGGCAGGGACGAGCAAGTGAAGAAGCATCCCTCCATATCAGATATCCACCTCATAGCTGCCACCGGGTCCTGTGTACCATCAAACTCTGGTGGCTTGGTGTTGCTGAACTCCCTGAACAACATCGCATCACCTCCCTGGGGTCTTGCCGCAGCAATCGCTGCGGTAGCTGCTGCAACCGCAGCCTCAGAAAGAGCGGCATAGCGCTCGTCAAACGTCTCAATCAAAGCGGTCTTAATAGACCCGAACATCTCTGGTATCTCGGCTCTGATGACCGCAGCCACCTCCTCATGAATGATCTGTCGAATGTCCTCATCACTAGATCCGGCATCCTCCGGCATGTGTCGTGTCCTCACCATGATCAACCTCTGAAATACAACATGTGATAATTAGAATTCACTCGAACACTCTTACATTCAACAATCCACCCCTCCTTGATTCTTGGCATCCCCAGATTCTTATTTGAACTGTGTACCGCTCCGGTGCTTTTAGTAGTACGGGCCCAATACTACTGTCCACACCGTCTCGGTACACACCCCAAATCGTCCTCTTCGGATCCCAGTCCCCAAGTACTCTATTATACTTAAATCTCTCTGAACAGATCTCACACAAAACCCTAGCTGCTACCTAATTACTCTCAGCGTCTCATAGCAGCTCACCATTCCCTAAGCTAAGGCATCACAAAACAGGCCACTCTAGCCCTATCAGCAATACCTAGCCTACTCTAGCATGCACACACATCACAATAATAGTTATTACATAACAAAAGATATTTTGGGAATTCACCGTTCGGGCGCTGACTGATCGTACACACGTTTCTTCCTGGAAAACCCTTTACTCTTAGAAAATTTTGGTTTTTATTTTGAAAATATCTCTTCATTTCCTCAGTTTGAGTTCAAATACCCCCGAAGGTGTACCCGAATCCCTCAAACCAAGGCTCTGATACCAATTTGTAACACTGATTTTTCAAACAAAATTTTCGATTTTTATAAAAGCATAATTCCATCAATATTCATAGAAACAACCCCTTTTAATTGTTCAAACAATATTACAAAATCCCAAGATCAAAATGTCAAGCTCCAAACGTGTGTGTACGGATCAAGCCGGCGCCTTCCCACGGTCGTCACTAGCACCTGAAACAAATAACATCAACACTGTAAGCACAAGCTTAGTGAGTTTCCCAAAATACTACATATAACACATATTAGCCACTCGAGGCTATAACTCTGTGGGTCCGTGCACCCAAACTCTGCGAACCCTCAGGTTCTAACTCTGTGAACCTTCCTTCTAACTCTGTAAACATGCACAGCATCAAACATATAAAGTAATGCAGTACAACACATAACATACATAGCATACAATTACTCTATCACATAACTCTGGTTACCTACTCAAGGTAAAGTATAGTGAGAAGACTCACCTCGTGTGTCTCGGTAAACCATAACCCTGAAATCGCTAAACACTCGATCTGCCGAGCTGAAGTCCCCCTATAGCACAATATATCTCTAATTAACACTTTCCCAACTAGGGTTGACCATACCATAACAGGACAATCTAGGTCAACGCTGGTCAACGGTCAACTTGACCGGACTCGGCGAGTGCACTATAGCGACTCGGCGAGTCTGAGCGCAATCACCAATTTCCCTGGAATCCTCTCTTGACACGTCGAGCACCCCTTCCCAACTCGACGAGCTCCACCTGGCACGAGTTATGGGGCCACCACGACTCAACTCGCCGAGTCTCAAGAACGACTCGGTGAGTCCGGTTTGACTCGGTCCACCTGTCCATCCTGACTCCCCCTTGACCCACTGAGTTCACTCATCCCAACTCGGCGAGGCCACTCGCTGAGTGGTCGTGCAACATTCAAGCTACTTGCCGAGTCTGTTCTTCGGACTCGGCGAGTCCGTGCCATGCACTGACTCAATCTTGCTCTAAAGGCCAGATCCAGTCCACTAATCTATAGATCCAGTCCCCCCATGCCTATTTAGCACGTAAAGTCACAATCTTGATGCATAAATAACCTCTACATGATCACAAATGATGTTTTTGACTCTATTACTTCAACACAAGGCCAATGACTCCATTTCCACCCATAAAGCTTGATGAGTGAGGCCCTCTGGACCTCTATGGATCCAGATCCATGGTCTCAACTCAAAGAGGGAACAAAAGGGCACCAAATCACCCCATAAATGATCATATTAAGCCCTAACTTGCATCAAGTTTCACCAAACAGAAAATGGTCCGAAAATATTACCTCTAGAGTGATGATCCAAGCTCCAAATCCACGAAATAGCAACCTCCTTTGCCTCCTCTTGCCTAGAGCCTCCTTCTTCTTGCTAAACAACACTCACAAGGTCAAGATTTGCTCTCAATCCTTCACCAAACGCTCAAGAACTCTAGGGACACACTCTGGGGGTTGGATGAGCGCAAATGACGGCCATAAGGCCCCTTAAATAGGCCACAAACCCGGGGATTTAGGGTTCCATAACACAGTGCAGACTCGCCGAGTCCATACCCTGGACTCGCCGAGTCCAAGCGTGCACCTTCTCTCAATCCCGCGTCCCTACTCGGCGAGTCTGAGCCCCAACTCGCCGAGTCCCTCTTTCAAAAATAACACAATTAAACTTACATTATACCTGGTAAAATCCGGATGTTACATTCTTAGCGAGAAAAAAGTGTAGCATCAATAGCACCCTCTGCATAAATTGATCTCCCACAAAAACTGTGCTGAAACTCAAATGAAACTCTACAAATAATAATAACAATAAATTAAGATTTTTCATAGAGAAATATTCAAAATCAATTAGTTGATTATAATATGAATCAAAAATAAAAAGCTTACGTTCCATCAGGAGATGTGAGATGATACATTAAGATGCTCCTCTGAAACACAAACCAATTCAGTCTATTGTTTTGGATCTCGTATCAATTGTACCTGATTTCATGTTGAAAGATAATTCAAAATAATAATAATAATAATAATATGAATATGAATATGAATATATTAATTTGTAGTTCTGGTTACTCGAGATGACATGACAGAACATAGCATGTTGTCCTGCGTTTGGTGGATTGTGACTGGGATAGATGTTGATGTGAATAAATTTGCAATTTTTATCTCATATGTGCAAAAGACGTAAATGGCCTCCTCATACCTCATCTATGTCAAAGGAAACTCCAAGTTTCTGGAAACATGAAATGGCTTTTGCTGTTCCAGATGTGTGCAGCTTTGTTGATTGATGAGATTCCAACACCTGTTTGGTTTCAAAAACAAAAATGATGTTTAAAAAATTATTTAAGAAATTAAAGGTATGTTTGGGAAAATAAAAGAGGATAAATATGTAAAAAGAAACGGCACCTCTAGGGTATGTCCAGAGAATGCTCTAGGAAATTGCTTGGACATTATGTCCATAGCTGTAAGAAATGCCACAACCTAAAAAACAAATGAGAAGAGATTAAACATCCGATTTTTTTTTTAAATTCACCTGTTTTCCCATTTGAGGAGATATGACTGCATAAAGCTTTCCTTCCTCCACAGTTTTATACAAAAGATCCCTATCTCCACTAGTAGTTCCCATCACAAAAGGCACTCCAGTTTTACAATACAATTCGACATTATCTGCATAACATAACATGGTGAATTCAATAAACCAATATGATAACATGTAAATGATTTGATATCTCTGTATAACACAAAATTACACATTTACCATTTACAGCATTAGGTACAGTGAAATCTACAATGATGAGATCAGGATGCTGTTCAAGTGGAGATGTTGTTCAAGTAGGATGCTGGAAAAAGCTAATCCAACCAAATCTTATCTGCAAGTCACGCAATCAAACAAAGGAAGAAAATAATCAGTCAGTATCAAACATATATATATATATATATATATATATATATATATATATATCCAAAAATACAAGTCAACAAACATAAGTATTATGAGTGTCTATAAATAAAGAGTAAAAAACCACTGTTTCCTATTGATTTGTATTCTATTAGTAGCAACTATGCAATCAAGAAAATGAAGTTTCTTTGATGGTGGTGAAGGAAAGTTAGATTATCTCCAAGTGCAAACACATAATGACCATCTTTATGATCTTGGCGCCATGGGGGAGAAGCATTTCGAGCCACACGCTTAACAAGGGGAGAACTAATGTGGTCTGATGGTGAAGACAACTTGAAGATATCAACATCAAAGAGACCGCACTGCTCTAATACTCTCCCAAGAAACCGCACCATTTGGCCACTTTAATTTTGATCTTCTGAAGTATTTTTCTGCTCCTTGGCTGCAACAACCTTAACTTAAAAATAGCTACAACTAATTAATTAACTCATGCACTTGCAAGCAAAAGCTGGGGACACAAGCCATACAAGGGCAAAATAGGAAGATCCAACTTTAAAATAATGCCCCACATCAAGAATAATAAGCCATTGCAATAAACCACTACCACCTTTCAGCTTCTAATTTGGCCCAATCTTGTTTCACCATATGAGAAAGAGAAAGAGAAAGATTCTCCATTTTTTTGGATATATATTTTTGTAATATAAGATAACCAATATGTTGACCAGTCAAAGCCCTGAGGAAAGCAGGGGAAATTAATAAACCTCCAACTAGCCATGGATTTGAATTGAAGGGAACTGGAGATGATGATATGAAGGGTAGAATGAAGGCAACACCAATTGAGAAACTTAAAGAGAATATCCACATAAGCAGGATGCTAAAAAAATGATAAGGATAATGAGATTCCAGATGTTGAGCCACCCATCATAACGGATGTACCCCATATCATCATGGATTGCATTATCACTGAGTTGTATAACATGTTGGCTAAACTTTGTTTAAATACAACCATGTATGTTCCCTGAATCATCACATCAAAATTAATATATAAAGATTTAATCATTTACTATTGAATATTGATTAAAGTTAAATTAAATGTACCAAAATGTCAAAATATATGGCGGGATCATGTTGATTTTTGTTATTGGATGCCATTTTAGTGAGTTGAGAAGATGAAACAGAGTGAAGAAGAAAAGTAAGCACGTTTTCTCCAAGGTGTTCAAGGGAACCCGGTTTTAAAAGTTTCAACTTGTCATTCTGCAAAAGTTTATTACTTTTAATTTGATATAATATTTGAGAAGTTATTTATAATAATAATGATTTGAAATTCAAGAATACCTTTATGTGATATACAGCTGTATTGTCTGCATAAGCAAAGTCAAGACCTGAAAGACCAGCAACCTTTTTGTAAACTTGAAAATCAGTAGCAGATTTTATGACACCTGATGTAAAAAGATCCTGCACCACTAAATAAAAATCGAACAAAAAAACCATGAATTTGAGATAAAATAAATAAAAAGAAAACTAACATTCTATATAGTTTAAAAAAGGAATATCACCTGAGCAAAAATTTGACCAGAGGGGTATTTTGCTACCAATGCATAGTTCTCAATCGCCCATGGGTTCGGACCCGCCTGTCAAAATTATGTGACAATTGATAAATTAATTAAGAAAATTAAATTTTTTTAAAAAGGAATCTCATTAAACACGACCTGAAAAATAGTAGATGCTCCACCATCGCCCATGGCTTCCAAGTCTATAGCCATATGTATACTTCTACTCCATGGATGCTGTAAAGATTTTATAAGTTAAGTTATAACTTAAACACATGATTAAAAATAACGGTAAGAGAGAAACACCTGAGTAATAAAGCTATGGGCTCCATTTAAGCCTTCGTCTTCCCTGGTGTTAAACAAGAAAATAACAGAGTTCTTGAAACCATGAGCCCATTGGGAGATTCCTCGAGCAAGCTCTAACATAACAGCTGCACAAGAACTACAGTCAGTAGCTCCTTCCCTTTATAAACATAAGACTCCATTTTCATTTTGAAGTTGATTAAAAGAATAAGAGGTAAATCATAAATGGAAGAAACTTACGCTGAGAAGACAGTGTCTATGTGGGAAAAAACCAAAATCGCACTATCTACTTCTTCAGATGTATATTTTGGCGAGATTCTTAAAACAACATGTTTAAGATCTAAATAGATAGAAAAAAAATCATGTTTGCTTGTAAAGTCCACCGACGAGCCTATTAGCACTAGAACTTGCGTGAAAAAGATCAACATCGACGTCGACTTCCCAGTGAGCTGTCGTCTTTATTTGCTTGTAAGTGCATGAGTTAATTAATTAGCTGTAGCAATTTTTAAATTAAGATTGTGTAGAAAGAACAAAATCATATTTCAATAATTATATTGAACTTTTTTTTTTTTTACCAAAATAGGTCTGATCTTACTTGGCTCTCTGAACCATATGCTCTGGTAAAGAAAACAAACCGTAAATTATTCAACAAGTATGCAGCCAATACTCCACATGTCACATGGGTAGCTCCATCCATTGCATAGAACTTTCCATAATTGTATCCCAAATCTGAGCTACTTCCAGTAAGACCTTTATCATCTGGTACATTGGGAGTAAGAACCTAAGCACCAAGGTTAAAAATGTCAATACATAAACACAGGATGAAAAAAAAAATGACAAACACATATAAAAGTCAACCTACCAACTCAGAATTCTGACTTGGGACAGAAGTAACAGGAGGACCAGATGGACCAGACAAGATTACAGTGGCACCCTGCAAAACAAAAAATATTCTAATCAGATACTGTTTTCAACCATTAAAACATGTATTTACATTTTACACTAATACTAAATTTATAAAATATAAAAACATCGCATACCTCTTTACTCCTGATGGCCATTTGTCCTGGAGGAGAAGCAGGGAGTGATTGAGAAGGGAGGGAAACCAATTTTCCCCACCCAATATTCAATTCATAATCATAAACAATCACCCCTGCAACAATAAATAACATCATTAATTTTCTTAATATAAGTATAAATATAAACAAACGAAGAGTTAAAAGGGGATACTTTGTTTAACCTTGCATTTCATCTTTTGCAGCTTGTCCATCTGCACGATTCATAAAAGCCACAAAACCACAGTTTATGACGTTTGCGTTCCTCTTCTGTTCTTAGCCACATGATCTTCACACTAGAAATAGTTGAGAAAATGACAAACCACTAGTTGAAGCACCTGACTGCAACCCTCAATAATGGAAACACCAAGCTGAACAATTTCATTATATTTGTTCTAAGAGGCAAAAAATCAAACAGTTGGTGTGCACTGAATACCCATTTATTCATATCAGTACCTGAAAGGGCAAGGTTAAAGAGAGTATCAAGGTCAATATCAGCTGCTTCTTTGGCGTCAAACAGGATGGACAGACAGGTAAACCGTCTTTTGAGAGGGTCTGTGTCAGCTTTGACAATTAACCTGTTTGCCTGCAGTGAGGAGCGACAAAAAAATCAGTTATGTTTCTCCTTTGTTCTCTCGGCTAGATAGAGATATCGACAAGAGAGGGGTGAAATTACAGAAGGCGCAACAAAAAAATCAGTTATGTTTCTCCTTTGTTCTCTCGGCTAGATAGAGATATCAACATCAAAGAGAGGATTCAGAGAGGAATTTACAGAATGCGCAGAGAGAGGGGTGAAATAAGATCTAATGGTCTTTGAACTCTGGGAATCAAGCCCTGCGACTTCTGATCAACACAAGGAAGATAACGTTATTGAGAGGGAGGCTTGTTGTGCGAGACAGATCACAAAGAAGATTTGATGGTTGTTAAACCAGACCTAGGGCTTGTAAAGTTGAGCATCTGTGGCGGTCTCCGTCGAGGTAAGGTTAGCCCAAGCTCGCCGGCGAAAAGAGATGAGTCGCGATTGTTGATAGATGAGGTGAGCCAAGGTAGCGAACGTTGCAGAGAGCACTCCCATCTTGAAAAGAACCCTAGAATGATCCCTTCGATTTTTAATAAAATAAATAGTCCGGAGGCGCGTTCAAGAATTATAAACTGACATACTTACACGACACTCCTTTTATGATGGGTGCCCTCCGTGTTTTTATTTTTACTTTTTTCTGACATAAATTTTAGGGAACGTAATAATGCGCGCCCTAGTTCCTTCAAAATTTTGGAGAGATGACATTATTTTGACCTCACACACTTTTGCGTATCGTAAATTCGTGTGCGTCATAAATTGCATGTCATTAAAGGCCTTTTTTCTAGTAGTGTAATTAAATAATACTATTATTAATATATTAAAACTTATAATATATTAATAATCATAAGTGCCTTATTTTCTCATTTAGTCTATCCAAGTATTGCAATGCCATGCAACCCAAATGGACCATGCCGGGTCGGGTCAAGTTCATACCAAACAAAGTTATGGACTTAGACACTATATCCAACAGTCTCCCACTTGGATAAGTCTAATAACTATATTTGCAAATATGACTTCAAAATCCGACTAGCAATCGTAGCTCTTTCAAAGTCTCTCGGAACTAAGATGATGATGATAGGCCATTTATGATAAGTGATCATATAATCCTCTGTTCTCATGATATTAGCCGGACAAACACATGGAACATGGTCTTACTTATTGTCCAACATTTGTTTCTCGATCTCCGATTTGTTTCGACATAAAACTAAATTAAACACATCAATTAGGTTCTGACCGGGCCCGGTACATAGGTCAAAACCAAATCATCGAGGGGCCCAGATATCGCTTCTATTTCTAGAAGGAACAGATAAACTTCGATTGATATGCTTGTACTAACTACTTGTTGAATTACTCACAAAGGCACGTTTTATAACATCGAGTTACCAATGCGTTTTCATACAATCAATGAATAACCAACTCATAGTCAACAACTCATATCTCTAGGTTTGAAGATTTATATGATATTACCGTCTCACGATCACTTGAGATAAATTCCATGAAGTGATGCAAGTGAGCGTGGGTTGAATCCAATACTCAGCCCTTATGAGTACTCATGAATGTTGTAGCAACCATTGCATTGTCTAAAGCACTTTAGACAAATCATGTAACATCCGGATTTTACCAGGTATCTTGTAAGTTTTAATTTCGTTATATTGTGTGAGGGACTCGGCGAGTTGGGGCTCAGACTCGCCGAGTAGGGACGCGGAACTGATCGATGGTGCGCGCTTGGACTCGGCGAGTCCAGGGTATGGACTCGGCGAGTCTGCGCTGTGTAATGAAACCCTAAATCTCCGGGTTTGTGGCCTATTTAAAGGGCCTTATGGCCGTCATTTGCACTCATCCAACCCCCAGAGTGTGCCCCTAGAGTTCTTGAGCGTTTGGTGAAGGAAAGAGAGCAAATCTTGACCTTGTAAGTGTTGTTTAGCAAGAAGAAGGAGGCTTTAGGCAAGAGGAGGCAAAGGAGGTTGCTATTTCGTGGATTTGGAGCTTGGATCATCACTTTAGAGGTAATATTTTCGGACCATTTTCTGTTTGGTGAAACTTGATGCAAGTTAGGGCTTAATATGATCATTTATGGGGTGATTTGGTGCCCTTTTTGTTCCCTTTTTGAGTTGAGACCATGGATCTGGATCCATAGAGGTCCAGAGGGCCTCACTCATGAAGATTTATGGGTGGAAATGGAGTCCTTGACCTTGTGTTGAAGTAATAGAGTCAAAAACATCATTTGTGATCATGTAGAGGTTATTTATGCATCAAGATTGTGACTTTACGTGCTAAATAAGCATGGAGGGACTGGATCTATGGATTAGTGGACTGGATCTGACCTTTAGAGCAAGATTGAGTCAGTGCATGGCACGGACTCGCCGAGTCCGAAGAACAGACTCGGCGAGTAGCATGAATGTTGCGCGACCACTCAGCAAGTGGCCTCGCCGAGTTGGGAAGGGTGAACTCAGTGGGTCAAGGGAGAGTTAGGATGGACAGGTGGACCGAGTCAAACTGGACTCGCCGAGTTGTTCTTGAGACTCGGCGAGTTGAGTCGTGGTGGTCCCACAACTCGTGCCAGGTGGAGCTCGTCGAGTTGGGAAGGGATGCTCGACGTGTCAAGAGAAGATTCCAGGGAAATTGGTGAATGCGCTCAGACTCGCCGAGTCGCTATAGTGCACTCGCCGAGTCCGGTCAAGTTGACTGTTGACCAGCGTTGACCAGATTGTCCTGTTATGGTATGGTCAACCCTAGTTGGGAAAGTGTTAATTAGAGATATATTGTGCTATAGGGGGACTTCAGCTCGGCAGATCGAGTGTTTAGCGATTTCAGGGTTACGGTTTACCGAGACACACGAGGTGAGTCTTCTCACTATACTTTACCTTGAGTAGGTAACCAGAGTTATGTGATAGAGTAATTGTATGCTATGTATGTTATGTGTTGTACTGCATTACTTTATATGTTTGATGCTGTGCATGTTTACAGAGTTAGAACCGGAAGGTTCACAGAGTTAGAACCTGAGGGTTCGCAGAGTTTGGGTGCACGGACCCACAGAGTTATAGCCTCGAGTGGCTAATATGTGTTATATGTAGTATTTTGGGAAACTCACTAAGCTTTGTGCTTACAGTGTTGATGTTATTTGTTTCAGGTGCTAGTGACGACCGTGGGAAGGCGCCGGCTTGATCCGTACACACACGTTTGGAGCTTGACATTTTGATCTTGGGATTTTGTAATATCTTGTTGAACAATTAAAAGGGGTTGTTTCTATGAATATTGATGGAATTATGCTTTTATAAAAATCGAAAATTTTGTTTGAAAAATCAGTGTTACAAATTGGTATCAGAGCCTTGGTTTGAGGGATTCGGGTACACCTTCGGGGGTATTTGAACTCAAACTGAGGAAATGAAGAGATATTTTCAAAATAAAAACCAAAATTTTCTAAGAGTAAAGGGTTTTCCAGGAAGAAACGTGTGTACGATCAGTCAGCGCCCGAACGGTGAATTCCCAAAATATCTTTTGTTATGAAATAACTATTATTGTGATGTGTGTGCATGCTAGAGTAGGCTAGGTATTGCTGATAGGGCTAGAGTGGCCTGTTTTGTGATGCCTTAGCTTAGGGAATGGTGAGCTGCTATGAGACGCTGAGAGTAATTAGGTAGCAGCTAGGGTTTTTTTGCGTGAAATCTGTTCAGAGTAATTTAAGTATAATAGAGTACTTGGGGACTGGGATCCGAAGAGGACGATTTGGGGTGTGTACTGAGACGGTGCGGACAGTAGTATTGGGCCCGTACTACTCAAAGCACCGGTGCGGTACACAGTCCAAATAAGAATCTGGGGATGCCAAGAATCAAGGAGGGGTGGATTGTTGAATGTAAGAGTGTTCGAGTGAATTCTAATTATCGCATGTTGTATTTCAGAGGTTGATCATGGTGAGGACACGACACATGCCGGAGGATGCCGGATCTAGTGATGAGGACATTCGACAGATCATTCATGAGGAGGTGGCTGCGGTCATCAGAGCTGAGATACCAGAGATGTTCGGGTCTATTAAGACCGCTTTGATTGAGACGTTTGACGAGCGCTATGCCGCTCTTTCTGAGGCTGCGGTTGCAGCAGCTACCGCAGCGATTGCTGCGGAGAGACCCCAGGGAGGTGATGCGATGTTGTTCAGGGAGTTCAGCAACACCAAGCCACCAGAGTTTGATGGTACACAGGACCCGGTGGCAGCTATGAGGTGGATATCTGATATGGAGGGATGCTTCTTCACTTGCTCGTCCCCTGAGCATTTGAAGGTTCGGTTCGCGCTGAACCAGCTTCGCTTGGGAGCGAAGGACTGGTGGAAGTTTGTGACTGCGCATTTCACACCGACCGAGCTTGCGGCAGTGACCTGGGAGAGGTTCACTTCCATGTTCCGAGATGAGTATGTTCCTCAGGTGGAGAGGGAACGTCTGGCACAGGAGTTTCTGACCCTCAAGCAGGGTACCGAGTCAGTTACAGCGATTACGAGGATGTTTCAGGAGAGGGCGATGTTTTGCCCTGAGCACGTATCCACCGAGCAGGCACGTATGAGCCGTTATCTGAGCATTTTGAGACGGGATATTCGGGAGTTCGCTGCGAACTCCTCGTACCGGACATTTGCCGAGCTTCAGGCAAATGCTCGGAAGAGGGAGATTGAGCTTGAGACTCAGGCCAGGGAGGAGGCGGAGTCTATGGGGAGGGATCGGCGGCCGGCACAGTCCCAGCCGGCAGCCAAGCGGGCCAAGCCCGCTGATCCCAGACCCGGGAGCCAGAAGGGCCGCACTTGTGGGAAGTGCGGCAAGGGTCACGATGGCGCCTGTCGGGCAGGGTCTTGCTACAAATGTGGCAAGGAGGGGCATATGGCTAAGGACTGCCCCAAGGGATTTGCAGTGTGCTTCCACTGCAACCAGACCGGACACCGGAAGGCGGAGTGTCCACTGCTGCGCGGGCATCTCAGGGGTCTGCCCCGCCGCCATCAGAGCTGCTGCTGCAGAGAGTCGGCCCGTGAAGGCCGAGGCACCAAGGGCTCGGGGGAGAGCCTTCCAGCTGACTGCGGAAGAGGTCCGCGCCGCACCCGACGTTGTGGCTGGTATGTTTCCTTTTCATTATTGTTTATGATGTTGAGATATTATGCTTATATCATGCTATGCTTAGGTACCTTCCTTGTGAATTCTGTACCTGCTTTAGTGTTATTTGACTCGGGTGCGAGTCGATCTTTTGTGTCTTTGGCATTTAGTCAGCGTATCAGTGTTAGTCGTGGAGTATTGAGTCGGCCCCTGCGGGTTTCCATAGCCGCCGACAGAGTGATTTGTGCTACAGAGGTCTTCCGGGGATGTGTATTGGAGATATTCGGGGTCGAGTTTCCGATCGACCTGATTCCGATTGCGATGGGTGATGTTTGTGTTATAGTGGGCATGGATTGGTTGAGCCGATTCGGTGCGGTTATCGATTGCGAGCGACAACTGGTGACTATACGAGATCCTAGTGGGGGAGTTCTTTCAGTATATGGCGAGGGTACACGTTCTGGATCAGCCTTTTGTTCGGCTGCTAGGGCGAGGCAGTGTTTACAGCGGGGCTGTAAGGGTTATGTAGTGTGTGTGATGGATACGCGAGTGATCTCCGAGAGACCGAGCTCTGTGGAGGAAGTTCCGGTGGTGCGGGAGTTTCCAGATGTATTTCCCGAAGAGTTACCAGGTGTGCCTCCCGCGAGGCAAGTGGAGTTTGGCATCGATTTGGTTCCGGGGGCCGCACCT